TAAATGTACAATGATTATCAGTCTTGCTGCCTAGCGAGTTCTGTGAGGTGCAAGCTCCCGAGGCCTGTAAACCTCCCAGCAGATTCCAGTGCTAGAATCCTAAATACTGAATTTAAGTCTCTTTGTGAATGATGACTGACAGGTGCTATGCTTCTCAGACACAGCAACGGCAGTGAATCGTGTCTGGGCCTGTCTGTGCTCTAAAGGTCAGGGAAGGCGCACATCACATGACTTGTGAGTAGCAATAGGCTACACAGATGTAAACATTACTATTGTTAATGAAAAGGTTTCACTGTAAGAGGGTAATTAAAATCTTAGAGGGGTGTCTTTACAATGAGCACCCATGAATCTAAGGCCCAGACATGACAAGAAAAGCATTGACTACATATGAAGCATGCATGTTAAAAGCCTAAGATCAGAGCAAAGCTGATTGGATTAAGACAACCCTTCCACCCATTGACTGAGACCTGGGAACTTACCTGCCTGTTGATGCTCTAATCTCCTTAGCTGTACAATGATGTTAAATTACCACTTAATTCTTAGCGTATCTTGAGAGTGATGAGCATTGAGCCCCCTGAACTTTAAAACTTAGAAAACCACTCAGCAACGCTCAGTGAGGATGAGCTTGGCTTCCTGTTCTCAGGAGCAGAATACTTTCTTCATTATTCAGTTTCTTTAATTTCTACATTATTTTCTTAGCAGCTTCCAATTCAGCCATCCAGTTCTTTCCGATTTTTTTTAGCCTATGAGAACTCCATAATAAAGGATTAAAGGAGGAATGACTTTGACCCAATGAAATGCAAAAACAAAAAAACAAAAAACCATGAAACTACCTGAATTCAATTTACTCTTCACTCAAAGTGAAGGATGAAGTGAATAAAGGATTTAAATGTGATGAGGAGAAAAAACTGCCAAGACAAACATTTGCTGAATCTGAATCTACAAATACAAATACTCATTATCGTCAAACGAAGTGGCACAGATTTCCCAAATATTTCTAGCATCCCTTTTATTGGGAAGTAATTGGTGAGCACATGACACTTTACTTCATTGAGACCAGTTTCTTCTTGGAAGGTAATTTCATTATCTTCAGAAGCTTTGGGATTGGTTGTGTGAGCTGGAGTTCAGTACTGAATGACTTAGAGGGAACTTTGTGACTTCCACTCCAAATTACGAAAGAGCTAAGGTTAAATATCCCCTTGAAATAACTTGTTATTATAGTATGTCATAGGACATATTTGGGTGCATGGGGAGGTAAGGAGGGTCTGGGAAGAGTTGGGGAGGGGGATCCAAAATCAGAATATATGTTGGAAAAAACTATTCTCAATAAAAATAACAAAGAAACATAATTTTTCAATAAATTTAATGTGCCACATTAGTGTTAAAAGGATTTTTATTTCATGAATACCATTTAAAATTTTTTTTTTGAGAACCTCATACATTTACATCATTTCTACTCTTCCCTCTCTCCCTTCCAGACCTGAGTCCATTTAGGGTTGCTTGTGTGTACATGATTTTAGGGATGATCACTTGGGATTGAAAAACTGTGCTCTGTGCTCACTTGCACATGCGTGTGTGCATGCGTGCGTGCGTGCGTGTGTGTGCGTGTGTGTGTGTGTGTGTGTGTGCGTGCGTGTATACACGCATGCACCCGTGAATGTACATGCAGAGCACTGAGTTACTCTCCACCTTAACTTTAACCTTATTAAAAATTAACTTACTATTTAAGAAGTTCATGCAATATATTTTGAGAATATTCACCCACAATTCCCTCTCTTAACTCTTGCAAGATCCACCCCCACCTCCACACCTCTTCCCCGCCCCCCCCACTTGTACCAACTTTGTGTCCACCTTATTTTTTGCAACAGCGTCTCTCACTGAACCTGGAGATAACTGTTTCTGGTCACCAAGATCCCAGGATCCCCCTGTCTCTGCCTCTAGTGATGAGGATACAAATGTACACTACCACACCCAGCTTTTCTGTGGGTATCAGGCATCTGAACTCAGGTCCTCATGCTTTGCAGCAGATATTTCAGCCATTGGGCAATCTTTCCAGGACATGGATTAATTGCCATTTTATATATTTGTTTTCATGTAGTTACAGTGAGGTCAGTTTATAACTAGAATAAAATCCTAGACTAATAGTGCTGCTAACTACTTACCGAGCTGGCTTGTTGAAATCTACAGTAGCCAGGTAAGACTTTCTTATCTGTGCTTGAGGAAACGCAGGATCAGATGGGTTGTCGAGTATGGCATCCTTTGAGGGATTTAAACTTAGCCAGAAAATTCTAAACCTTTGTTTTTTATGTCAGAGATGCAACCTGTGTGGCATTAGCGAACTCCCGGGAGCATTCCACGTAACCACACTTCACAAATGTGAATTACGGTGTGGGAGGTAAAGAGACAGCTTTCAGTCCCTACTGTGAGCTAACGGTGAGACTGGAATTTACTCAAAGGCAGAGAGAGCTTGTCTGCCATTCATATATAAGTAGTGGGAGGTTAGATCATTTAAAACTTTTGAACTTGAAAATGAGAATAAACATAAGGTTGTTCTGAGAGTTGAGTGAAATGGTCGTCCGGGGCATGCTCAGCATCAGTGTGGCGCTTGACCTGTGGTACTTGATGAACTGAAGGTAAATGTTTTCAGCGATAGCAACAGTGACACAAACTAGAACTTGAGCTGTGAGAGTCCTGGAGCAAGATTGATCTGTCGTCACAGTAGACCAATGTATACAGACACACAGATTGTGCAGGCAATGTACTCTGGCCTACCAGAGCAGCTAGCCTTGCCTTCCTGTTGATAGCGTGTGTTCACATACACTTCTGTGCACTGTGCATTTACACAGATGCACTTGAGCGTTCTCATTTCTTGGCACCTGCCCACAATTTCCTGGGCCTCCTGAGAAATTTGGAGCGGCACATGTGCTCCTTGCGGCCCCCTGGAGCCCCCCACTGCTGCTCCATCTGACAAGTCAGATGGCAAGTGTAGGTGTGGCATCAATTCCCTAGGTTCTAGGAAGTAGGGGCCCTGCTAATTTGCTGCATTCCAGCTGCTGGAGCTCTTCCCGGTTCCTGGCACTTGCTCCCCAATGGCTTTCTGATCCTGTGGCAGCAGCTCCTAATTGCCCCTGGCTTCTTGTCCTTCTTTTTCTCTGTGAGTGAAGCTCAGCATGTGGATCATTTTCTGCTAATCATTTAGTTAATGTGCCTTCCATTTGTCAGTGGGTTTATATACGGCGCCATTCTTTTCTTTTATGCTGGGGCAGGTGTGTTAAAAAAAAAAGGTCCTTATTATCCTCCTAATCTCTCCTGTGGCTCTCCCTAACCCCACCCCCTCTCTTTCTCTTCCTCTCCAAGCTTTTACTGACACAGCAGATTCTTACCTTTGATTTTTTTCTTTCAGAGTGCAGATGGTTGCTTAACCCCGTGGTATCAGGTGCTTCATTTATGAAGTCTTTTCCTGTTCTTTTCAGGCTTTTGCTTCCCTTTATCTGTTCCTGTCTTTAAAAGAATTCCCCTTTCACCCCTAAGAGAATGCCTTAAAGTACAGTGAGGAGAGCCAGGTGAGCACACCGAGGATGCTCACCTAGTATTTGATTTTTTCCCCTTCCCTTCTGTTATCCATTCTCTATCTGTTATATCATCTATAGCTATGTCTGTATTTACAGTTCTACCAAGAGCCATGTTAAACTTGGGTGGATGCTGAGTATGGCAGCCTGGGGGCAGACTGGGCATGGTAAGTATTCATAAATTTGGGATGAAAGGGCATAAATTCAGATCCTATAGCAGAAGTCCTTCACTCCCCAAGTGGCGACAGAAATGTTAGCTGGTCATCTCTGGCCCGTTCTTCAACAGAATATTGGATTGCTCACAACCTGCTAGGATTTCAGTATATGATAGAGTTCAAGGCGTAAATTGTTCTGAAATGTCCCCTCCATCTCCATCAAAGAAGTTCTATTTTTCCTTAAAGAACTATTTCTGATTTTAAGTCTCACCTCTCTGTGGAGTCTTTCTGATGCTCTCTGAGAACCCAAAAGAGCACTCGGTGTGTGCCTCACAGGTTTGGGCATCACAGCAGATGGTTTCCTGTCTTACCGTGTGCTCGTGTCCACCGTGTTTGTTCTCATGCCATACATGTGTTTGTACACATGTGTTTACTGTGTACAACTTACAACCTGCAGGAGACACTGTGCATCACCTAAACATAAAGTTCCTGATGTTGGGGTATCCTCCACCTTTTTCTCCTAATCTACCAGTAAATTCTTAATACATATAGGAACACCCTGGGGACCCGAATTCAAAAGATTCTGGCCTTGTTTCCTGGCTAGCTGACTCCCACACTTCAGGGCTGAAGTGTTTAGCTGAACTCTTGGGGGCATATACCATCAACCAAAATCAGTTAAAAGGAGATACCTGTAAGAGAGCTTTCATATTTCCCTTCCTTGCTCCTCTTACTATTTCTTCACTAAGGCAGACCCATATCCATGGTACTCAAGCACACATGTAGTCTGTGTATATACTTGTAATTTTCTTGGTTTTTAAAATTTTGAATAGCTTAAATTTTTTAATTTTATAAACTGTATAAAGTGGATAAATACATAACATGTATTCAGTAATAAAAGTGTAAAATTTAATATGAAGCTCCATGGATTCCATTCTGAATGCCTATTCTAACTTTACAGAAGTCCGCTGAGTTGTATAGACTTTGGGTCTGTTGAATTTTGGTGTGAAATGTTTTTAAGTTTGGAATACTTGACAAACATTAATGAGTGTTTAAATGCATGCTAGGCACTTGTAGTTGTCGAGATGAATGAACTGTGACTCTGTTCTAGGGCCACTGACAATGCTGAGCAGAAGACATGCACATACATCACACGAACAGAGGACAAGACCTTGAGTAAACCATCACTGCTTCAAGGCTGTGCTTGCAATCTAGGTGTTAATTTACATACTCTTCATAGATGAGCTTGCAGTTAATTTATCTTTACACTTCCGTGCAGGGGAAGATGCAGCTAAGCAAAAACAAAGGGAGAGAGTCTGCTGCCTGGTAAGGATCTATCCAACCAGCACTCCTTTCTCAATTCTGATCTCCGCACTCTAGCCTTCCATACAAGGGTAAGTACACACAGGCCCCGTTCACTGTGGGCTGTACAGTAAGCAATGGCCATTGGGTGGCTGAGGCCTCTTAATTGTGTACATGTCAAAACTGAGCTGTATTCACATGTACTCAGGCCTCAGACTTGGGGTAGGTGGTTGCACCCCAGGAATTGTGGTCTTGGGCATGCATTCCTGGTGCAGTGTGGCTCAGTTGATTCATGATAACCATGACACAGAGGAGGTCAGCCATTTCCACTGACCCCTGCAGCGTTCTCATTTCTTGAAACAGAGCCTGTCATTTCAGAATATCTAACACTTCAAAACAGCCTATTGTGGGGGTGCCATGGCAACAAAAAGAGGCTTTCCACCATTTGTACCAAGTAGGAGCGAGAGGCATTTAGAGGGCAAAGAGAAAGAGTCTGCAGTTTGGTGTGAAGGGACATTTGAAGAGAATGGCCGGAGTAATTTCTCCCTCTGCGAATCTCCAGGATTGCTTCTCTCCTCTGCCTCTGTGAGCCTTGCCTTGTGGCAGGCACTGGGTTCCAGGTGACTGTCTTTTCTGAGTCATCTTTTCCCCATTTGTTTTTGATATGAGCATTCTTTTCTAGTGATGCGAGAGAGCACTCATGCTAATGCCTTGACTATGGCCGTTATTCTGGTTCAAAGAAATCCAGCTATTTCTGCCACAGGTTGCTCAAAGTCACATCTATTCCTTGCCCAGCTTCAACTTATTTTAAGTGACTTAGAGTAGATTAGTGTTTTCTGAAATGGGGTGGGCATTAAATCAACTCAAGGATCAGGTCATAAATAAAGGTTCCAGAGACCCACCCAATCCTACTGAGAGTCACAGGAAACCATCTTGGTAGCTTCCATGCAGGCCGGCCTCTCTCTGGCATTGAGAACCATTGGTCCAGGTGCTCTGGCCTCTTGGCTTTTCATTCTACAGATACAAGATGCAGTGGCCAGCCTGTACCCAACTCCCTCCTAGTCCCCCACTTCCACATGCCCATCAGTCTCTTCTTTGGTGACTCCTTTGGTGCTAGCAGGCTAAGTGACAAAGGAGCCCTTTGCAGGTCGCACATCACCGCCACTGGCAGATTGCTAAGTAATGGAAGTGCTCTGCAGAATAACACACTGTCTTTGTACAGAATTTACAGCCTCTTTTCTGGTACTCACATATATTTCCATAGAGGACCAGACTCAAGAGCTGCATGTATTGCTGTGTGGCTGGAAGCCTACAGGAAGGACAGAGCCCACGGTAATACTGAGCTGGATATTCTAAGGAGAAAAAAAAAAAAACCCAAGCCAGGTAAAGGTTTAGAAGCATCTTTGTGTCTGAATCACACAACCCAGCACTTCACGCTGAGCACAGCATTTCCCAGCCATCCAGCAGCGTCAGGCCAGGCCAGGAAGACCAGGCAGGTGATGTCCTGTCTGCATCCTCTTTGACAGAAAGAAAGGGAAGAGACATGATAAAGAAAAATAATCTCCTCTTGAGTTGGTAAGATTTGGCTCATTGCTCGAGTCTGATCCGTTCCGTTTCCAAGGCAAACTGTACTAGCCGAGGGAGAGGGCATGCTTAGAAAGCCCAACCCAGTTCGAATCAATAGAAAAGAAAGCTGGCTTGCTCGGAAATGGACCTACCGATGATACAGGAGCATGTTTCTGTTGAAGACTTGGCAAATATCCAATTGAAGTGATCAGGGATTTTCCTAGGCAGCAGGTTTCCACGGAGACCTACAGTCAAATCAACAGTGCAGTGACCTGCCGGAGCGAAGGGTGTGGACTGTGTGGCACGTGATAATGAGAGTTGGGCAGAAGGGGTTTATTCGCTTACTCAGTGGGATGGAAAGGCCTGTCAGATAGCCTTAGATGACGTGTCACACAGAGACCTGCCTCAGGAGCAGAGATCTGCATCAAGAGCAGGCAGTGTCTGAGTGAAACTCTATTATGTTAAAATACAGATTACGTGTCTGCAACCATATTTCCTGCATATCTACTCTGTGGTTACTTAGGTGCTTTGAATTTAATCGTCAAACTTGATTTATTAGCATTTTTAGTTATATGTAGCAGTAGATTTCATCACGACAATTAGATATATGTATGTATATATGTAATCTGTTTTAATCATGTTCTCTCCTGTTACCCTGTCTTGTCCTCCCACTTTAGCTGACCCCTCTTCTTCCCAATTAGTCCCTCTTAATTTTCATATCTCTCTATCTCTCTCCCTCCCTTCCTCCCTCCCTCTCTCTCTCTCTCTCTCATGAACCAGTGAGTCTCATTAGAGTTGCTTACAGTGGTTGAGAGACTGTTTACAGAAGCATGGACACCTTACCAGTGGCTCAAACAAGGAAGAAAATACCTCTTTTTAACAACCATTAGCTGTCTATAAATTCTCTTTGTCTTGAGCCCTCCCCCCACTCCATGAGATAGGTCATTGATGGCCCCAGTTCTGTGCAGATCAGGAACAGATAATCACAGAATTCAAGAATGCGAAGGTCATGTCATTAAATTTTTGTAAGAATAATAGGACCGTCATCATCTGTACTTCCCGTTGATGAGGAAATCGGTGATGAGGAGTCTTCCAAGGCAGTCAATGGAGATACAGGATGTAAGGAGAGGCCTGTCTCTCTCCAGGGTCATGGTATTGGCTACTCTAGTTGCCAGTATCTTGATTCTGCTTTTCAGTTTTCCTTAGCTGAGGTGAAGTATGTTCCACAGTATCCAACTCCTGGTCATTAATACCATGGCATTATCTTCCCCAGAAACTTGATATAGGGAAGGAAGGTATTCTGATGGTGGGAATGATGATCATAAATGTTACCTTGAGGGGCTAGAGAGATGGCTCAGAGGTTAAGAGCACCGACTGGTCTTCCAGAGGTCCTGAGTTCAATTCCCAGCACCCACATGGTGGCTCACAACCATCTGTAATGAGATCTGGCTCCCTCTTCTGTATACATAATAAATAAATAAATAAATTAATTAATTAATTAATTAAAAAACATGTTACCTTGAATTTGGCTTATAGATCCATCTCCTGCTAACCTTCTCAGCTAGAGATTTTCCTCATGAGTCTAGGTGAGCTGACAGAGTGAGTCATAGAAACACTAGAACTCTGTGGGTAAGAGCTTTGCTCAATATTTGAAATGACCTGGGTTTTATTCTTGGGTCCATTGCTTATTAGCCACAACCGACTTTCAGCGTTCTCATCTGTAATAGATACAACTGTAGTTCACACTTCATAGGCTTGCCAGAATGATTAAAGAAGGGTGCTTAGCACAGGTCCCAGCGTGTGGCAGGCACTCAAAACACATTTCTGAATTGCATTACTGAACTCATGAAGCCAGGTCTTGGTCTGTGGTTACTTTCTATGGGGCCGTCATCAGCTGTAAGCCATTCTCTCTGATGAAAGCTTTTCAGCTTTCACATTCGACAATAGCGCTTTATCTTTTCCAAGCTCTCCTACTTGAGAAATATGGTTTTCACTTATCTGCATAGCCCTTTTCAAATACTTTATTGTTTTCATTTTTAATTCATCACATAAATATAAAGTTAAACACATATCTTACCAACTTGAAAGCATGCAAAACTGTGTGAGGCTAAGAGTTGCCACCCCCCCCCCAATTCTTTCTAACCCTTCAAATGACGTGATCATGAGTCTAGAAGGTGCCCATTGTCTTCCTTCCCTTTCCAAAGGTGAACTTTGCTGTGCACAGCCCTCTTCAAGCTGTTCTTACTTGTTCACTTGTTTTGTTCTTCCTCAGTTTACAAATGCAATAATATATTCCTTCATGTTGTTAACTACCAACTTTCAGACATAACTCTAGGTTGTCCTTAGATTTTTCTGTTGAAGCTAACCCTTCAATGAAGGTTCTTCTGCACATATCCATGGACTACTTGTATGACATTTTTGTAGGCTATCCTAAGACGTACAGCTTCTGGGCCAAAGGATTCTGTGTTATAACTAACCATTGTCTTTTAGATAGGTGAATCTGAATTATTTTTTAGTGTTTAACTGGAAAAAATGCTGTAAAAGCCTTTGGTTATAACTTTACTTTTGAATTTTTTAATATTCATTTTTTCTCATTTTATTAGTTAGTTGAGAATTTCATACAATTTATCCTCATCATATTCACCCCATACTCCTACTTCTCCCAGATCCATTTCCCAACTTTATCCTCTTTTTTCATTTTTTATTAACTAGTTTAAAAATTAAAACATAATTGTACCACTTACCTCCTTCCCTGTCCTTTCTCCAACCTCTCCCATGTCCTCTACTTACTTCCAGCCCTTCCCACATCCTCTCCTTCCAACTTCTTATACATTTCTCCCTCACTCCTTTTCAAATTGATGGCTTCTTTTTTATTATTATTGTTACACATTTACACATACATGCACAAATAAATAAATACATCTTGTTGAGTTCATTTAGTGTGGCTTGTAAGTATATGATTTCAAGGTTGATCATTTTCTATTGAATAATTAGGTAACCCCATCCTTGGGAGAGACTAATTATCAGTAGTCATTAGTTGCCTGTAGTCCTTTGTCTAGAGGTGGGATCCCGCGAGATTTTCCCTTTCTTATGTTAGCATGTCTATTGATATTATCCTTGTTTAGGCAGCGACATTGTGGAGGTATCTTGGGTGTAACTTCCCTGTCATTTGTAGAAGACAAAATTTCACAACAGACTTTCTATATCCTTTAAATTCAATCAGAAAGTCATTGGTTACTCCTTGGATATTCATGCTACTATTGTGCCAGGGGGCATCTCTTTGCAGATCAGTGATTGTTGTAGCCCATAGAATTAACAGCCAGGTAAGATTGGTGATTACTTTTTTCTTCTGGTAGCATGGATAACAATTCCCAGCCCTGTGAAATCTAGACAGTAGGAATGAAACTTCCAGATGAGTACCAGCTCGATTTCTTCATGTTCTGTGTTTCAAATGTGTTGTTTCTCGTCAACAGAGTTTTATCGAGTTCTGGATATAACCAAAATATTGACGATAGCCTTTAAAATAATTTATTAATAAATATACTAGACATTGTAGTAGGGTATGCTGTCGGCCAAGTGCCAATTGAATGTGATCTGTCCATTATATTTGTCTTCTGGTTATATGACTCATCTCATACAGATGAGAATGCCTAGAGGATTGACTGAGTTATAGCATCCAAGTGGTAGAGCCAAGACTTGAGCTCAGGTCAGTTTATTTCAAAACTGATAGTTTATATTACGTTGTCTCTTATTTTTAAATTCTTGAGCTATAATGGGCTTGTTGCCAGTGGTAAGAAGTGACCACTATTGGATCATAAAGGTAATATGGTGGGGGAGTGAATGGTGTAATAAGAAAGTCATAAGGTTTGGATATATCAACAAATCTCCATTAGTGTGAAGGAAAACTTCTGAAATTGTTAAATGGTATTCAGAGTCTCTGAGCATTGATTAGGGGTAGATAATAACTCATTTTATATATGGGAAAGATGAAGAAGTGGAGACTTTATAACCACTTTACCTGGTGCAGGGCTTACTTGATACCAAAGGCTCTATGAAACCATTTCCTATTGAGAAGCATTGATTTTTCTCCAATTAAATGATGATTTCAGAGATATAAAAAGAACAGACAGGGGTATCCCGTCAACAAGTCAGGCAAGGACAAGCTTCAGGAGGTGAAGAATTCTGGAACAAAAGATCATTTCATCAGTGAGACTCCCTCCAGAAGAAGGATAGTAATATTTCTTCAAGGGCCACTGGACCAAAGAGCTCTCTGGGACATTTGGTCAACTTTGATACTAAGAGGTCTGACATAAGGAGGGTCAGGAATAGGCAGACAGGGTATGAATCTTTTGTTTTTTGGATCTTGCTCTGTCGACCAGGCTGGCCTCGAACTCACAGAGATCCGCCTGGCTCTTCCTCCTGAGTGCTGAGATTAAAAGCATGTACCACCATCGCCCAGCCAGGTTATGAGTCTTGAGAAACTCGCACATACCTGATACATCCATTCTTGATTTTATATTACCTACAGTTCAATAAGTGGCAGATCCATATTGGGCAGTAGTAGTAAGCAAGACAGTTCCAGATGCGGCCTAAAGAGTTCAGATTCACTGGGCAGGGACCAGCAGACATCAAAATATGTGTGGCCAAGGAAGTTGGCTTTGAATAATTAGCATGAAAACAGGTCCTTTGGGTACAGGCTGGCATTGTAGAGCAAGTGCTATATAAAACAGGAAAAATCTAGGTAGTATAGGGCAAGCTTTAGGTAACAAAGCCAGTGCCAGGTAGAGGCTGTCACAGAGGGAGAGGATTTCTCTCTGAGATGTGCAGGCATCTCTGCTCATCCCAAATGGGTCAACTGAAGCTTAGGACACCCCACCCACCCACCCCCACCCCACCCACCCCACCCTCCACCGTCACCCCCCACCACCACCACCCCCGCGCCAAGAATGTTTCGCTGCTCTTCAAGGCCTTATCCAAAGCCACCGGTCTCTTCACATAAACAAGGAAGTAAATAATACATACAATGTAGGTTTTAAGGCAGCGCTGTGTGGTTTGAATGTGAGACATTCCCCTGTAGGCTCATGGATTTGAACTCTTGGCCCTTAGCTGGTGGTGCTGCTCAGGAGGGTTGTGGAACTTTAAGAAGTTGAAGCCTTGTTACAGGAAGTGGGTCACTGGGGTGTGGGCCTGGAGGCTTTGTAACCCAGCCCACTTCCTGTTCACTCTCTACTTCCAAAGTGTGAGGACAAAGTGACCAGCCAGCCTCTGACTCCTGCCATCTTGCCTTCCCTACCTTCTGCGTTTTCCCTGACATGACGGACTGTATTCCTCTGGAACTGTAAACCAACATCAATTCTTTCTCCCTTACATTGTTTCTGTCAGGTTTTGTTTTTTTTTCCCCACTGCAACAGAACAGTAACTAATACAAATGCTAACTTGTTTGGTTTATGAAAAATGGTCCCAACACCACGATTTCTTGCTCAGTTTAAGGTCCAATCACAAGTCTCTTAGTTGACTCTTCTGTCCAATGGGTGTGAAAATGTCTCTCTAAATAGAGTTGAAAGGATAAAATAAAGTCTTGGAGAGTCATAAAAATGAGATGTTTCTTGCTGTTCTGTTTCTACAACACTTTAGTGTCAGACACATCAAAGCCTGATGACCCAGAAGCTCAGCAAGGCCCCGGGAGATCTCCAAACGCTCCATGTTGGCTCTGCCCTTCCTGAAATGTCAGCATTGGTGTCACTTCTCTGACAGGTCACAATTTCTGGTAGGATTTTGTGGAAAGGGATGCATAAATACCTGCCATGAGGTAGGGGTGAGAGGTATCGATACGGACACAGTTTTCATTAATTTGAATTATTTTGCCTCACAGTTTTCCTCTTCTTTTCACCCTCTGAAATGCCTATACATCCGTTCCTTCTAAAAGTTATTTGTTTTAAAAAGCACCCACTGGGCATCCAGCTCACTCAGGCCATCTGCTTTATTGCGGGAAGTGACACATTGCTCTCCAGATGTCACTTGAGGGCTTGAGGGTTCCCTGTTGTTTTATCTATTATATTCGTACTCAAGCATCTCAGTTGACAGCTAGGTACCATGCAGACTGCCTGTTCTTATTCTCTGATGCTCCCCCTACTTTCTTACCTCTTCAGACCTTGGCATTCCCCACAACCAAAAAGGGTTCAGGCAGGACCAGAGTCCTTGGAAGCTCACAATCTCCAGAGGCCCCGTTGAAGACTGTGGTGATGCAGTGGGCAGTGTGTATGTGAGCCACCCTGAGGTGCCTGTGTCTCTTCTTTCTCTTGTAGATGTAAGGGATGGGGAAAGACCCAGTGAATGATCCACTTCTCCAGGGTAATCAATGGGTCGTGTAAGGAGTCCGTGTGCCCATGCAAGCATTCATCGCTGAGAACAGTACCTCAGGAATGGGAGCCAGATTTCCTCACATGGGTGGAGCTGCATGTATGCATCAAGATGAACATGCTGGGAGCCACAGTGAGTATCCTTGGGGAATCTCTGCCTTTGTCTCTCAACAGAGCCCACTGCAGCTCTAGAGCAAGAGGCTTTCCTCAGAGGGAACTTCCTGAAGGATGTGTACAGGTAAATTCCACCACTGAGGGGTTCAATTAGGGAAGCAGGGCCTCACATTTGTTTAGCTGAAATGATGGGACCCTGTAAGATGAGGTGTGTCTACACAGGTGTCTCTTCACAGCTTGAATTCTGCAGCACTTGATATCATGAAACCACCCGGAGCAAAGTGGAAAAGCTGATGAGGACAAGGGAAATATGGTAGATGGAGTATAGAAGCCACATTAGCTGGTTGCTTAAATATAAAGTTTGACACCGGGCGGCGGTGGCGCATGCCTTTAATCCCAGCACTTGGGAGGCAGAGCTAGATGGATTTCTGTGAGTTCAAGGCCAGCCTGGTTTACAGAGTGAGATCCAGGACAGGCACCTAAACTACACAGAGAAACCCTGTCTCGAATATATATATATATATTCATATATTCATGGCTTGAGCTTTATCCTATAAGACAGATATTACCGTTGAAGGCTTTTAAGCCAGAGAAAGAAAGAAAACACGCTCAGGTTGCAGTGTGAGAATCAGTAGAAGGAGGCAAACCTAGGGCCAGGGATAACAGGAAGCTGGAGCAATGTCTTCACGGTTCAAAGCATCACGGAACTGTGTCTAACAGACTGAGATGAGGGTGTGATGGGAGGTGAGCAAAGATGGAGAAATGTCAGGCCGTGCAGCTTGATTATAGTGGGAGTTTATGTAAGAGAGGAGCCCAGGGTGACTGACTGTAGCGTGTCTTATTGAGATCTCTGAGTTAATAGTGGTAGCCTTCACTGTTATGGGGGAACCTGAAGACGTTTAAAGAGGAAAAGCATGAGTTTCATTTGGAGCATGTTGCTTTGAGACATCCATGGGACAGTGTTGGATATCCAAATCTGGAGGTCAGGGAAAAATCTGACCTAAATATGCAGATTGTGGAACATCACCAAGTTCAGGAGTCCTTGGCCTGGTGTTTTCACGGATCCCCTTAAAGATTATAAGGGAAGCTCTTTCCATACATTTGTCCCCCAGGAAATACACAGATCACTTAGAGCCCATTCTGGATATACCTGGGGATCATGACTCCAGCTTTGGGTCTGGCTGATGGGTATTCATGCTTTGACTTAGGCTGTGCATCTTTGGTAGGAATCTCACAGGAGGCACAAAGGTGGTCTCATATATTGTCGTCAGGGAGCACAGGATTTGTACTGGTTCCATTCATAACGAGTTATTTGTGTCGCTTATTAAATTAGTGTCTGCAAAACTTGTTCAATGAGAGGTTATTCTTTCTCCCTTTTCACTCAGTAAGTATTTTGTGGGTGATCCTATGCAACTACATAAATGTACCATTTCTCATCCAATGATTAGCTCATCTAATTATTCATTTATACCTGTGTGGGTTCGCGGTAACTTGTGACATCAACCATGACCCATCATTGTCAGTTGTGATTTTGATATACAAACTGTTCTCATTCTTTCAAGGGATAGGCGTCTATGTTTTTCACATGCATCTATAATTCTTGAATATTTCCTTATATTATGGCCACATTTTAATCTCCTTATGCAAGACATTTCTCCAGAGGCAAGGTTCCAATGTTCAATTGTAAGAGTGATCTAGAAGTTTCTATCTAAATGATAGGTGTGTGTTCATGGCCATGGAGTTATCACTGCACCCGAAGCTTTTCAGAGGATAGATAGGGATATAAATCTGCATATTTATATTTACATTTAGCTTTCTGTTTATTTATATGAATTTTTTTCTACGTAGTAAAACTATTGCATTCACAAGAATATCTGTAAGTCAATTTGTCAGCACTGAATGTATTAATAGTAATAATTTTACCTTTCAGAATTTGTATCTTTCATTTTTTCACAGTGTAAATCTGTCAAACATTGTTTTTATGTAGGTATTTGGTCAATTCCCTTCCTTATATCAATTTTCTTTATCTACTGTCACCCTCTTTCCCACAAGGATGCCCATACCACCCCCCCCGCCCCCCGCAACACACACACACTGTCCCAGACTATTCCTACTTAGAATCCTCTTTACCCGGTGGAATTCTGACCCGCTTCCTGTCACACCCCACACGGATGTCCTACTCACCCTGTTTGAGGTCTGACTTTTCTGTGTACTCTGGTTGGAATCTGGTTTCCCAAAATGGTTTGATCTCATCCCCACACTATAATTAAGTTCTGCTTCTTCATGCTGATCACCTCCCCATTCTTTAATAATTCCATGTGCATGCATATTATATGATAGTCCATGCTTGGTTACTTTTCTGTAAGGATATTGACCTCCTCTTGTTTTGCTTACTGCCAGTCCCAAGCATGAATCCCCTCCTCACTTTGACCATACAAGACACCTCTGCACATATGCCTAAGAGTCTTCTTTGGAATCCAAATACGTACAAGCTTGATATCTGCTTGAAAATGAGATGTGCGTATCTGGACTCTAGGGAAGACTCCCTTTGAGAGGTATTGTGAGCTGCACACTGCTTCTGTCATCTGCCAAAACCTTAGGTCACACATGAATGAGAAGAATGCCCCTATTTCAGCTACAGCTTTTGTTCTCCAAGTGTCATGTGCTTATTTCTTCAGCTTTAGCGGACATGCTTTAAGCCTTAATGTGAATGACTTTCAGATTTATTTTCTGTGTGGTAGAACTTCTCAGTAAAACAATTATGATGGTAGAGATGCAGATTTCAGTGATGACCACAGGCACCATGTGAAAATAGATACTCTCAAGTTTAGCCTAGACAAAGACTAATGAACTCATGGACCTGTATGTTAGCTGGTCTGGGCTATACTTAGATGGTAAACTATGTTAATTTGGGGTTAGCCTTACTCATGTGTTTGGGGATCAAATGGAGACAATTTTCTTTGCCAAATTTGATCCTCCTGGGACCAACAGGTTGATATTGGACCAAACTGGGCAGGTTCTTTTCCTGGTACAGGAGACAGGAAGTCTTCTCATGTTTCTGCTCGTCTCATGTCTAGTTGAGGATGGGAGTGGACAGTAATACCAAAATATGACAGCATTTTGTTAAAGGTTAAAGAATTGGAGCCACAGATTTAAGCTGTCATATTAAGGCTATTAGGAAATGTAGTTTTATAAGCTAAAATTAGAAACCCTCCATCTTCATTTTGAATCCCTAACTTATGAGTATCCTTGGGTACTACCAAATAATGAATCTTTTTATCAGCTACATTTGCTCTTTGCCAATGTCATAAATGTATATAATGCATTTTGATTATTCTCACCCCATTCTTTCTTATCTCCTACTGTATCTACACTGGCCCTCTTCCTTAAAAATTCCTTCCCCACATTCATATTTGTGTGTGTGTGTGTGTGTGTGTGTGTGTGTGTGTGTGTGTGTGTGTGTGTGTGTATGTGTGAGCCACTGAGTTTAACCATGGATATATGTATGATTGTGGTTTTAAAACTATCCATTGGAGCCTGGTGGGCTCACCAGTGTTTACATAACAGAAGGCAAGGATTCCTCATCTCCCAGAATAGGTAGCCAGTAGTTCAGCAGGGAGAGATAGAGCCCATGTCCGCCCCTATCCTTATATATGACTAATTATGGACAAGGCTAGTTTCATGCCTGTCCAGTTCAGGTGCTGCAGCTAGTGAGAATGTATGATTTTAGTGTCTATGTTATGTCTCAAAGAGGGCATTTCCCAGACATTCCCCCTGCCTTCCAGCTCTTACATGCTCGGTGTGTCCTTTTCGTCCATGCTCCCCAAGCCTTAGAGGAGATAAGTACCAATGTCTTGTTTAGGGGTCAACACCGACCTGTCACTTATTCTAAGCACCTTATACAGCTCTGTCTCTGCGTTCACCACTGTTCACTGAAAAGTGAGGCCTCTCTGATTAAAGGTGAGTGTAGCATCTGTTTGGGGGTATAAACATAGGTATTTAGAAGCCAGTTTGATGCTATGACAAGTTAGCTAATCAACAGGAAGTCCCTTCCCTCCCCCACTATCCTGGGCCTGTCACTTCCCTTGCGATGCACTTCTGACCATGTTTACAGTGCTAGTCATGGTGCTGTGGAATGGGTCTCAAAACCGAGCAGAAAGTAGCTGGTTACCCTCAGAACAGTCATGCCACCTGCAGGCATATCTTACCTGGAAGGTTAGTATCCTAGTACATAAGATCCACAACTGGGTTTGTCCATAGACACCTTTTCTTCCCCTTGGCATAGGACTTTTGGTCTCATGAAAGCTAGCCAGCAAGGAGAAAGTTTCTTGCTCAGTTTCTGCTTGATCTCTTTATATCTTACAACCATGATGTGTGGTGTCTTCAGGAATAGAATTGCATCATCTAGTTCTGGTGGGCAACCAAGATGAATGGCAGAAGTTTGTGTTGTTTCAGGGGCCTCTGGGGACTCTCTCATCAATAACTCCTATGGCAGTATCCCATGAACCACTATGGGAGTTTGGTTAAATAACCCATAGCTTCTAGAAGCAGCATTATCTAGCCATGCAGACTATTTCCCCTTCAAACTTTTTCTTTAAAATTCTTATATTTTAAATTTGGATTACAAGGTAATTGGTATTTGTGTACCTTTTTCATACACCATTTGTATGGATTAACTTCTTTTCTGCCTCTTCATCTCCTCCCACCCCCGGGCGCTTATACCTTAATGTCCTTAATATTCCCTTCTACATTTTTATTTTACCTATGTTCTACTTCCACTCTGCTCTGAAGGCAACTTCTACCCCATTATATTCTCTGATTTACTGGCACAGGCACTCCAATGAAACATATAGAACTAAAGACAAAACAAAGATCCACATGTGAGAGAATATATGGTATTTGTCTTTCTAGGTCTGGGTTACCTCATTCAGCATAATATTTTCATTTTCATATATCTACCTGCAAACTTTGTAATTTCATTTTCTTCATAGCTGAATAAAATTCCATTGTGTATATGTA